AAACAAAATTGACTCGGATCTCGCACATTAACAGTTTCCCTTGAGCTGACCTTGACTTGAACACAGAGAGCCCGAGGCGGTGGGCTGAAGGCTGGACTCCCCCTAAGCTCCCTCCCCTCCCCCAAAGGCTGCCTACTGTTCGACTGCAAGAGAAAAAAAAAATACATGTCCGGATGCCTCCATTGCTTTGTGCTCTGATCTTCACACAGGTTGCTAAAACAAAGCCCTCATTAATATTTACAGCCTCTCTGATGGGACGGGATCAATGGAGAGAGGTGAAAGAGATGGGAGAGTGGGCTTGAATAATCACCATCAACTCTCAGGCTCTTCTCTTTTTCTCTAAAGTGAAGCGATTTCTAGGGTATGAATACAGAGAGATGGCAACGGAGTTCACTCGAATAGGAAAGTATTTGGAAAACCAAATTTTAGCAAAGTTCTTTTCGGGCGTGCTAAAAGAAAATAGTCTAGTAGATTATTTTGCAATGTTGGTAACCAAAATTGCAACATTTTCAGCTGCTGTGGTTCTTTCACTCTGCACTGTGTCAAACAAAGCAAACCCTTTGAGAAAATCTGTTCTACTCCTCGCCTGCAGTGGCGCTGCACCAAGAACCACTGAAGGAAATGACACAAAACGTCTGAAGAAGACATTGAGCGCAGCTTCCATCTTCACAAAATATACGCATAAATGGTAAGGCATCAAATGTCAGTAGTTGTAGGATATCTCTGTAATCTTTAGCAAAAGACAACAAGCTATTTCTGCCTCTAGCATTAGACTTGCATATTTGTTTTGGTTGTATTTACCCAGAATGCCCTGCAAAGTAGTCTGCTCCATGTCCATGGTCTGTGGACATGGCAGGGAGCAGACCCTGACGGCAGAGTTTCAGAAAAGGAGTTTTTAAAGAGACAGAGGCCCAATTTCAAAAGTAAAATTTCTTTTAAGTCATATTTGGTATATACAACATTTTTATAACAACTGAAGTTAAAATAGCTATGTTATTGTGTTATGAAATGGCACTGTGTGCCTGGAAAATGCATAGAACCACATCTTTAAGAGTTACGTTTTGTGGTTTTAAAATGACAAAAGGTGAATAAATCCAAAAGTTCTTTTAATGCGCACTGCCTAACGTTACTGCCTCTCTCGACTTTCATTGTGTGGGGATGAAAATGTTACTGACTCCCAGTGTCTTCATCGATGGGCCCCAGTAGTGCAGAACTCCACAGTAAAATCCCAACAATCCGATATGTTCTGCGCCTCCTGCAGGCGGGCACGCTGCGCTGCGGCCCCTTAAGCGAATTAGACAGGCAGTGCTCCCATCACTGGCTGTCTTGACTGACAGCAGCCCCGCAGAGCGCTCTTAAACCACAGAAGGAGCAAGCTGTTAATCACAAGTGTTTGCCACCATTTTTTTTCTTTTGCTTTTCTTTTTTGTTCCGGCTGAGGGGAGACCGGGCCTCGGTGATGAATGCCCTCACTCCTTCACATTTCAAAAGTACAGTTTATCCATGAGGAATGGAGCCACTTGTGCACGGGCGGGAGGGAAATTGCCTGTTTTTTTCCTCTGACCTGAAGCCAAGGGTGAGAAAGTGAATGGAAAGCGATATGAGAGCATCTGCCCTCCAAGGTGATGAATACTGTGCAAATTAGAAGAAGAAGAGGCCTTTCAATCTACACCGCTTTCTTTCCCCTGCGCTCACCGCTCTCAGTTGTTTTCTATTATTTTCTCCACCACTCACTCCTTCTCTTCTTTTTTTCTAAGTTCTACTCTTTTTTTTCTTCTTCTTTTCTTTTGATGGTAAGTTTTTCTATCCTCGCTCTATCCATGGTGTCTGCATGCTGCACGAGCGTTCGGGTTGACAGGTTCAGCTCGGGGAGGTCAGGAGGGCGAGGGCAGCATTTGCAGGATGTGGGACAGAAAGCTGAGGCAGCACAGCTTTTAGTGGAAACACACCATGCAGCAGGAACCTGGAGGCCGTGCAGAACCTCAGACAACCATGACCTTGTTTTGAAATTTGATAAATATGTTTTTTTTTTTTTTTTGCATATGTGTGCACGCCATCAGGAATTGTTGCTGAAAAGCAGAGCACAAAAGAAAAAACTAATGCTAAGAATAACAGAAAAAGATCATCGCCTCTGCCTCAAGCTGGTATGTCACACAAAGTATTTGCAGCAATGATAAACAGTTAAATAACGATCGTGTATTTCAGCCCAAAATCCGGTGAACGTTGTTTGGGTGCGCATAATTAATCTGAGCACATAATGTTGTCTTTTTATCCCGCAGCTCATCCTGCTGGTGCTAAATGATGAATGTCTGGCTCAGAAAAATGCAAAGAAACAGATAAAAAAAGAAAAAAAGAAACTGCAGAAAGTCGAACACAAAGCCAGTGTGACTTAGAAGGGATGTGAGTGGAATAAGAAAGCTGAAGGCAGACTGCTGGACAGGCTTAAAAATTCACTTTTTCTCCCCAACCGAGCTCGTTTTTTTTAGTCCTGCTGGATTGAAATGGACATTGATCTGGGAAAAAAAGAATTAGCTACATTGTAGTTAAATATTTTTTATAAAGGTACCTTGCAAAACTTTCCTTATCCATCGAACTCTTACTGCATTCTCTCCACGTCACAACCACAAACTTTAATACATTTATTAATGGAAGGTGGATGTTGAATAGGTTTTAATTTTTTTTTGACAAATGTTATTCTTGAAAGTGAGGCATGCATTTATATTCAGTGCTTCACCCATACAGTTTGACTGAGCTGGAGCTATTTTTGCAAGAACAACAAAAAAAAAAAGATCAGTAGACAAATTGTATTGTATTGGTCGGCCACTTTTAAAAATACACAAAATGGATTAATGTTTTGGGTTGTGATGTGACAAAATCACAACCCAAGAGAACATCACCCCAGTTCTAACGTCCCTACACTGGCTCCCTGTAGCTCAGAGAACAGACTTTAAGATACTGCTGTAAGATAAATCACTGAGTGGTTTAGCACAAAAATACATTAAAGATCTGCTTTATCTGATTGTATCAACCTTCCAGACCTCTCAGGTTTTCTGGTTCTGTTTCTGCCCCAGAATCAGAACCAAACATTCAGCTTCTTTGCACCACAAATCACCACCACAAACAAGCTTCTCCAAAACTGGAAAACAGCTGAAACACTGAGTTCCTTTAGATTTTATTTAAAATCCCACGTGTTTAGAGTTGATTTTGAAATGTAATCATTGTAAAAATGAACGATGGCACTTGACTAATTGTAATGTTTCAGTTGACTGTGTGTTTTATGACTTTGTCTTTTTTGTGTGTTTTCATGAAAGCACTTTGAAATGCCTTGTTGCTGAAATTTGCTATGCAAATTAAATTTGATTGGATTTTTTTATTTGAAGTGACAAAATGTGAAAAAGCACAAGTGCGTGAACAGTTGTGCAAAGCACTGTAAAACTACCTGCTTTGAAGAATTTGCTTAGAATTTTGATCTATAATTTTCTTATCACTGATACGGGGAATATTGGAAAATCCTTTAACAGCATGAAACTCAGCAGAATGTTTCTTGGTGCATCATGTTTCATCCCCAGCCAAACGGTAATGCATCAGACTCTGATCGTCTTTGTTTCCACAGTTAGACTAAACTTTTTGTTAGAAAGTCAATGACTCCTCCGTGTGATGCAACTTTTTGTGAATTTCTTTCCCCCGCGCTCACCGCTCTAAGTCATTTTCTATTATTTTCTCCACTGCTCACTCCTTCTCTTCTTTTTTTCTAAGTTCTACTCTTTTTTTCAGATTGCCCAATCAAGAAAGGGAGAGAGAATTAAATGTGTTTTCATTCTTGTGAATAAATGAGAAATTTAGCATTTTGCATACACTCTGATGTGTGATTTCTCCTTTGCAGTAATCTTTTGAAAACAGTCTAGGACTGTAAGGCAGCAAATTTGAGTTAAGCAGTCTGGTTTTTCGAACCAGAGATTATCAGGCAATCTGCTTAGGGGCTGAAATGATCAGGTAGACGTTTTTAATGTTGCAACACTCATTTCATTCAAAATGTTCTAAAACTCAGTTTAAAGGAGTTTCAACCCTTGGAGAGCAAACTTGTATCCCGCAGACAATTCAATGTTAAAACAACTTCCCAACTTTAAGTTATCCAGCTCTGAATCTTCTTGCTGAGCCAAAACTAATTAGTGCAAATGTCTGACAAGTGTGAAGTAAAGTGCAAACTTATCAAAAGAACCAGTGATTTTAGGAAGTGCAATTATCCCACACATCCTTTTGAGAACGTCTCAAAATGATGTGCAGATCAGAAATCAGATTAAAACAAACAGTGAACTTCACATGAAAATGTTTGTTATTGAACATCTAATCAAACATTTTGCAGTCAGTAGACACTCTGAGCTGAGCTGTCAGCAGATCCCAGGGGCGAAAGTCACGGAAGAGTGGCTTGTCTGCAACCAGACAAGAAAAGCGACGCCTACCTGTTTACATCGTCTGCGTCTGCTCGCTTTCCCTGGAGGTTCATTTCAGTGGCTGTGGGTACATCAGTTAATTTGAAGGATGCAATTAAAACAACGAGAGATATTTCCAAGCCCGGTGTTTGCAGCTTCATCACCACAACAATAAAATATGACAAATGAGTTTGCGTTTTTTCCACCCTGTATGCCAAACGGGCGGCAGTCGAGTTCTTTGGCACACAAAAAGAGACCTTTAGACCAAAATCTGCATAACAAAAGAAACCGTTTTATCCATTCACTGATAAAGTCACCTGTGTACGAAAATAAACACTGGGATGGAAAGATCAAATTTATGCATAAGTTGATTCCCATTTGGTACAGATGGATATAAAAAGTCGGGAAAAAAATAGTCTCAACTGTCGCTATGTCATGACAGTAACGCTATGTGAGATAATCTGTGACAAAACTTTATCTTGTCTGCCTCCTCCCAGTGCTAACTAAAAATAACCAATCAGAGCCAGGAGGCGGGTCTTACTGCTGTCAATCACAATCATGTGACTCTACTGGAACTTAAAGGTCATGCCACAAGATCCTCCTTCTTGGCATTTTAATTCAGATTATATTTCTCACTGCTTCTCTTTGCCCAATTTTTCAACAATCCATATTTAAATTCATATAAATAATCTCCCACTTTCCTAGTGGGAAATTCGACTTAAGGGCATTGTAGTACATTATTTCGAGTGTGAAGTTGGAATTTCCCAGTTCCGAGTACAACGGGAACGCAGCATTAGATTTGAAGCTATCTTGGGCGTCTTTACGAGCTGTGCTCGCATTAGTGAAACTGTTAGCTTACCAGAACGTCTGGCAAAGCAAAGCTTCCTTCAGCTAGCTCTTGTAAAAATATGTGAAACAGGATTATGTTGTAATGTTTCAGTAGTTTCGACGAAGGAGACATAAATTCTTGTCAGGACAGCTAACCAAGACCCGAGAGAACCACTTGAGGACCAAACACCTAAATAGAGGAAGCCTGGGGAGTTACTTCAGACTGCCATGTTTTCTTACTGCACTTCAAGGTAACATTCCAGTTAAAAAAATAAATAAATAATACATTAATGAGCTATATAGAAAGCTTACAGTGTGAAATAATTGCTTCCAGATTGCAGCTAATTGATACCAGTTGTGCTTCACAGCTTCAAAGTTTGTCCTTCAGATTTGGACTTCTTAGCTTCTGAGCTATATCAGCCTGGACAAATTAACAAGTTTTAATAAGTTCTAGTTGCAATTTAATTTTAATAATGAAGAAAACGATTGAGGAGGAAACCAATTTATCTTGTAATTAATGTCATCTTGGTTTATGGACTTTGTCGAACCAGCTTTACGTTTTCTATTAAATGGGTTGTTGTAAAGAAAAGCCACTCATGTCACTGATTAATGAAACAAATATCTGGCCTTTCTTAAACCAACAAGAACAGCGAAGGCAGACCAGTCGGTCACCAGGCTTGAGGTCCAAGTGAAACCAAAAAGGAGACAATGACTATGTGTTTTAGACTGTGCAGAATAAGGAACATAGGCAGGAACAGTATCTTGTCTTCCTCTGTCTGCTCTCAACAGCAGCGGTCAGAAATGCCTCTCTGTCCGTCTCTCTGCAGGCCGTCCTCCTACCTGGGAAAAGCCGCTCCTCTTCTGCATGGCACATAATTTGTTCAGGGACAACTAGAACTTGATGATTTATGGTCAGCTGGGAAGCTGCAGATGTAAGGTTACATGAGCAGAAATTTAAAAAAAAATTACACATTTAAAACGTACATGTAGAAGTGTACACTAAGTTTTTACTTTGTATTTGTCGCATAAGTTGAATACAATCCCAACTCAGCTAACGCCTCCTGAACCAGACTGGTAATTACCTTTGAGTCACCTCTGTTTGAAAATACTCTATTTTGCTTCTTCTCCTTTTTCCTTTTATAAATTGTTTAGTCTAATATCACCACAGTCCTATCAATCAAAATGCTATTTCTATTGAGGGTAGAAACACAGTAGCATTCCTCCCATCCATACTTGTAACTGTACTGTGTAGGCAAATTTCTGCATTATGTTTTATATTGGGCTATACGGAGTGTATGTATTTTTTATTTTATAATGGGAAAAGCAGGAAGGCCTAAAATTGGAAAGCTGCAATGTCTGCTTCGTAGATTGCCAATATGCTAACAGGATTACCAGCAGAGCAGAGTCAGAATACTTTTCGTTTAATTCTTTATCTGTAACTCAGTTTTCTATATTAAAAAAATATTTTCAGTTTTAAAAGCATAACATCACCAGAAACTAGACACTTATTTCAAATAAATAGCCATATGCTATCTCAGGGCACAGAAAATAGTGTTTAAAAGAAAATGAAAGACTTTCCCCTCTTCGCTCCTTCAGACTAGCCAGCAGCAATCAGCATACACCTGGTAGAACTGCACATCTGCTGAGCTCAGTATATGAGCTACTTCTTTGGTGATGTTGTGATGACTTCCCGAGTTTCAGAAAGACCAGGAGTTTTTAAAGAGACAGAGGCCCAATTTCAGTGCGCCAAATTACGAAATCAAATTTCTTCTAACAGCATTTTTTGAACAACTGAAGTTAACTTGATTGTGCTATAAAATGGCACTGTATGCCTGGAAAACACACAATACTGCCCCTTTAAGAACGAATATAATGTAGTAACTTTGCACCGCTAATCGGGGTTCCTAAATTCTTTGCAAACAACAAAAGGGTGAAAAAGGAAGTGATGACCAGTGAGTTTTGCTGATTTATTTTAAGTTATCAAAGCTTTTAAAAGCATTCCATCCATGACCTGAAATAGCTTCGTCTCATCTGCAGCAGAGGTTTTCCAACTATTGGTTTGTGAGACCTGGCTCTTCTTCACAACTACTTCCAGAACCTCAACCTTTGCCTGCTAAACGTCATGGTGTCATGGTTTTGCATGTCTGAGCCTCGTCGTGTAAGCGACACATCCGCAGGGACAGCAGACACGAGGTTAATGCTATTCGCCACAGAAAAACAAACAAACTAACTAAAAAAAAAAACCTGGAGCCTGTTTTGGCACCGGTGAAGGATGAGCAGTGACAAGCACAGATAGCAGATGGTGGCAGAATCTGTAATTATAATTCTTTGGTGGGAAACGTGGCACTGTTGGAATGAAGCGCTGCCACCCGCCACCCTGATGGCGAACGCGTTTGTGCGTTTGGCGAAAGGTTGAGCAGTCCGGGGTTTTGTTTTCAGGTTGCAGTTTCTCGATGTGGGTTTCGTCTGTGGAGGACAGGCTGCTTAACGGCGCCAGACTGCAGCGGAGTTGGTATCTGCCAAGCGCGTCTTTGGAAGGGCAATTTCCTGCCCGGTCACAAACACAATGAATATGGACAAAGCCGGTTGAACTGAATTTAAATGGGATGAGCCTGTAATGGATCCCAAACGGGGAGCGGGGTCTGAGCTCTGCCCCGGAGGGACTTACCTGTGATTTAGCCCCCTTCCCTCTTCATGTGACGGGGGAGGCATTGTGGCATCTTCCCCCGCGCGTGCCCCCGGTGACCCTGAATGCTCCCTCTTCCGTAGAAGGGTGCATAATTGTCTAATTAAATGTGTGGAAAAAAACCCAGCCCCGGCGTAGCTCATTAAAGACATTGCTCCATAAGCTCCTGACTGTCTTTCTTTTAAGACGGACTCCTCATCCTGGCAGCGAAGGTCAAACGAACTGTCCTCAGGACACATCGTCTTCCCTGGTTGACCAAAGAAATTTATTTCTGAGCATGGAAATATTTGTGTAAATTGGCTATTTTGACAAAATGACTAACAGACACAGAAAACAAAAGGAATCTACAGAGAGAATATCAAGAAGGGAAATGAAATAAAGTAAATTCAGACATAATTTCTTTTTTCTTTTCTCGGGGTGTCTCAGGAGTTTTTCTTCACCTGATTCGGTTCAATCGTGGACCGAAATTGAAATATTTGTTACGTTTTCAGTTGATCTGGTTCGTTTTCACTCTGCAATGTGTTAAACTAAACTCTAGAAAAAAAAAAGGAAACAACACAAAAACCTTTGAAGACATGAGAACAACTTCCTTCTTAATCAAATGAAAATAAGTGCGTTAGATTTTAGCAGTTGTAGGATTTCTCTTTTGTCTTTGGTAAAAGACCACAAGCCATTTCTCCGGCTAGTATTAGGGTTGCATGTTTGTTTTGGTTCTTTACCCAGAATGCCCTGCTATAGTCTGTTTCCTGCTATTGGAGTGGTCTCTGGACAGTTCGAACTGCGCCAGAGTTCACTTTATGTCAATAAAACCAGCCAATGTCAATGAATGTTACCAAACATACCAAGAAAGGTCTGGTATGTTTGGTGATGACTCCAAAAAGTGAGTGATTTCTTTACGACTTCCTAAGGGACAGTTATCCAAACACTGAGGGGATGTAAAATTTTGAAACCTGCCTGGATCAGAGAATCCACAGTAAGTTAACCGTGTGCACCAAATATATTCCAAATTCCTGGAAGGCATTTGTTGTTTTAATCAAAAGTATTTAAAGGATCCAGCGAGGAGTGCAAGTCAACTTCTGACCTAAGCTACATGTGTTAGAATCTAAAAACCTGGTATCTAAGTGCAAATGTTATAATCATCAATATATAAATGCTATAATCATGTCATCAGCATGTATGCAGGGAGTTGTTTTTTTTCTGATTTTGAAAACAAAGCTTTTTTTTCCTGTAATTTTTCAGGGAAAAACTGCACACAGCTGCCTCCAATTGTATGCAAATCGTGTAACAGTGCCATGTGCATGTAAAATCGTGAAGCTTTGTGCATTACAACACATATTGTTATCCTCATACTGCTAAAAAATGTACACCCTGACACACATCTCACCAGATAATGGTAATGTAACCTTTCCAGTTCCAATCAGGTCTACAAACACATCTCTTCCTGCCATATGCTGTCCTCATATATTTATATGTACCATAAATATTTCATAGAACTGATGTCAGAGGTGAACATCTGTCCTGTCCTAAATGTTTCCACCCCCTTCACTGACAGAGAAGCAGGCGTTTTGGTTTTGGGAACAGTGTAGGATCTGTTTGTTCTTCCAGGTGTCTCTTGTTAAGAAAGAGAGGTGAAAAACTGTTTTGTGTCAGTTCTTTGTGAAAATTGGTCTCATAACATGCTTGATAACTAATCTACTCACAACTTGAAAATGTATGGATTTTGTGTCATGCTCTGGGTAGATTTTGCTTGAGATCACAAGTCATCTAATGTGACGGCTTCGTACTGCAGACTCTGAACTACGCCTGAACAGTTTTGCTTCGTTGGCTCCAAATATGATGAAAGTAGATGTCATTTGAGGTGAACTTTAAGACGATTTCAACTCGGACGTTTTTTAAATTTTCTTTTCTTTTTAGCTTGGATCCGGAAAATTGACCCAAAGACAGCATAATTGCTTCATAACCTCTAACTTGAACAATTCAAGTTGAAGCCTTCATATAGATTTTCTAAGTCTTTCCTGTTATTGTAAACTTTGGTTAACTGGTAGTGCTTACCTGTTATTGATATAAGTTTCAATATAATCCAAGATGCATAATATAATCCATAACATGGTGTTCATGCACACCATCTTATGTTGTAATCCTGCTGCTAATTGTTCTCCAGTGGAACCGAACACCAATACGATCAAGCATTAGTTCAGATTTTTTGTTAAAAGTAATGCCAAAAAATGCTTGTTGCGAAATACCAACTATGACCGTTGCATGATGTTATGGGATGGTGTTAGTTAAGTTGCACAGCCAAAAACTGGCAGCAATAATTTAGTTTATTTAGAGAAAAAAAATGGAGGTTCAATTTTTAAACATTTTCGACATGTTATTTAATCATTTATGAATGTCACCTTTTAAAACTAGATGTCGAGGTAGCAAGATATACATTTAGTTTGGAGCTAAACATTGAGTTTGGTTGCCATATAATTAGTTTGCCAACTAAATAATTATTTTGGAGTTAAATATTTCGTTTGCTGATTAATATTGAGCTAAATAATTAGTTTTCTAACTAAAATTTTTGCCAGCAAATATTTACTGTGCTAACTAAATATGTAGTTTGCTAGTCATACATTTAATTCACTAGCTATATGTTTAGCTTGGAGCTAATTATTTAGTTTTGAGCATTTAGTTTGCCAACTAAATGGTTAGTTTGAAAAGGTGACATTTATAGACAAATTAACCTGGTGAAACAATGACCTTAAAACCCCCAATTTTTCCTCCTATGGCAGGATAAATAACCCCAGGATTTCTGTTCATTTTTGCCTGGGTAACTTTACAAACACCCAGTAGTTGTTAGGTGGGTAAATTAGACTTTGCTTTTTTGTGCATGAATAATTTATGAATAGCAGTGCAGCTCCTTAGAAACAATAAAGACAGAGAACATAGTTCAGGACTCATTTTTCTAATTAGACTCAGAAGCTGCGGTTAGTTCATGTGATCCTGCAGCAATAATAATCTGAGTGCAGCATTTTGTGTTACCCAGCTGGTCCAGAGAGCAGCTCAAGTCAGAGTTCCAGAGATTAAAGAGGTGGTGCCCTGCATATCTTTACACTGTATTATGTTCATTATTCAACATTTAATAATCTCATTCAACCAGGGGTTGAATAATGAAGTGTAGGGGGATTTGTTTTTCTGTTATCATTGCAAAGGAGAAAAAAAAAATGCCATGAATTTTGTAGCCTGAGGAGAAAAATGTGCTGTGAAGTCTGCTGGGATGGATTCCTCTGTGCTGCCTGCCTGAAACAGGAGGATGAGCAGGCAGCTGATGAGAATTTATCTTTATATCATTTAGGATGTCTGCAGTTTGGCTATTATTTTACAACTATAATGCCTCGAGCAGCCTTTGTTTCTTGCAGATTCACCTTGTAACTCTTGTTGAGAGCGCAAACTATTTCTACTTCTTAAAGCTTCAATTGTGGCAAAATTACCAGAGTTCATGCATAACAAAGTTCCACATACAGACATGGACCACCTCTGTTTGCTACCCCCTCTGTTAAAGATGTGAAAAACATATTATAAATAAATTCGTATTGTGCTGCAGTAGAACATGGAAAAATGCAACCTTGAATTTTGGGACAAAAAGTGGTTTACAGAACTTCTTAAGAATTATTTTTAAATATATATAATAAAATCCCTGTTGGTACGTCTGTTGATACCTCCGCTATCAATACTTTATACAGACCCTTCAGCCCAAAACAAAACAGTATTTTTATAACATTTAACAAAGTTGGTGCATAAAGAGAGGATGTTTGCACAATCTGTCTAAATCTTCCAAAGACTTCTTTCTCTTTCCTTATTCATGTCATAGGTTGTAAAGTATTTTGATCTGGAGACTAAGTTAGCCATGGAAAAAGGTTGATTTTCAAATTTTTAAATTGCTTCTGAAATATTACACATTTCCAGGTTACTGGTAGATTCCACCAGATCTTTAATTAACATGTTTTGGTACTTGAATCCATGATCCAAGATCCAAGTACCAATGCCCTCTAACAAAGTGCCCCCAGTACTTTCCCACATCTTAATGAGTCTCTTCAGAACGTTTTTTTTTTTTTTGTGATTGTTGCAGCAAGAAATTACTGATTTTTATTGAATAGTTTTTTCAGCTTAATTTTTGCCATAACATGATCTTTCAAAAAAAGTTAAAATTGCACATCATCTTCCCAAGAAGGGTTTTAACAATTAATATTTAAAGTGCAAATAACATTTTCATGTACCGTATTTTTTGGACTATAAGCCACTGCTTTTTCCCCACCCATTGAGCCATGCTGCTTATAGCCCGGTGCGGCTTTTCTGTGGATTTTATTTCAACCACCAGGGGGCTCTTTAGCAGAAAGTGAATCATTGGAAGTCAAAATTGGAAATCAAAGATGAAAGCGTTAATTTTCATTTAGAACAAGCACATGCTAGCAGCAGGCATGACAGAGAAATGTTTTCAAACTCATACCCCCTCATCGTGGAAACCACACGAAGAAGTTTATATAATGCAGCTTTTAACTTGTGGGTTATCGATCTGGTAGTACAGATTGATAACCCACAAGGCTGCGTCTTTGTGGAAAACCGAGAGCAGTGGAGATATCAGCATGTTATAGCCCAGTATGGCTTATATTTGTACGTTTCCAGTTTTTTTTTTTTTTTTTTTTTAACTTCGTGGGTGCAGCTTATAGAGAGGTATGCTCTATAGTCCGGAAAATATGGTACCTTTTTAAATAAATAAATAAATAAATAAAAATAGCCCCATTAGTTCAAGTTAACATGAACTGTTTACTGCAGTCCTACATAGCATCTCAAAATGGTTTAAAAAACAAAATGGTGTCCTGCTTTCATTTTGCAAGTTTGGCTTTGAAGAGACTTTTGGTCAAAGTGATTTAGTCAGGAAAGAAGGAAATACAGAAAATGTTAAGATGATCGATCAGATTTGCAGAAAAGTTGTGCAAGTCCAAACACAATCTGTGACTGAGTGCAACCTCAACATCGTAACTTACTGAAGGGATGGACAAATCTTTTGGTTCAGTGCTTGTTGCTGAAAAGCTCATTATTATTATCATCAGGATGTAGGGTTGTAAATATGGTCTAAGGGTTGGAATAATGACTCCACTTTGCTGTAGTTCTCTATAGGTGAGCTGTAAACTTGCATCTCCCATCTCCCTCACTTTTCCACCTGTCTCTGCATTTTGTCAAGATAAATATGGAACCTCGCTTAGAGTAGAGTTTAAAACTGACCGATTTCTGTTTCATGTCATATTCATACCTCAGGGAAATGGAAAGCTATAGACTGCGAATCAGAAGTTCTTTGAAAGTCAGCTGAAAAAAAAAGTTGAAGTCGTCTTAATTTTTTCCCTCTTAAATGTTCTCAAAATAAAGGATGAGTAGAACCTGTAAGCATACAGGTTCTGCTAATGAAGTGAAATATACACATCTCTATCAATGGTGACATAATCTAATGCATATGAAAATGAGTTGGAGAGTACAAAATGTGATTAAAAAGGACTTTTACTACTCCAGAGAGATGAATATCCCCAGACTTAACCCTTTTAACCCTGACAGAATGCAGATCTATGCATACAGGCCAACAGAGGGAGCCCAATAGCCATTCATCTTCCTGCTGAAACACTGCAAGTCTGCTGTAGTGTGTGTTGGCAGAAAAGCTTTATTAATGGAAGTCAGTTTAGTCAGAAATTCTCTCAAGTTGGATGGACGATGGACTTTTCCAATAGAGATGTACGCTGTGGGTGTCGGCCTGGTCTAAAATCTGCTTCCTGGCCTTTGGAAAGGGCAAAAAAAAAAAAAAAAAAAACCCACATGGAAATCAGAGAAGCTGAGTCTGTACTGGCAGGTGTGATGAAAGAGGCTTGGAGTACACAGCTGTGATCTGTCACATTTTGAAGGTGATTTGGGTTTCAGAGGCTTCCAGAGGATTTTTTTTCCCTTTCTGTAAGCTGCCTCGGTAACCTGTCAGCTGCTCCGGCTCCAGAAACGGAGACCACACGTCTCCGGGGACCGGTGGGCTTTTCTACCCTGCTCCGGCACTGTGCTGCGCTGCGCTGCTCTGCGCTGTTTGCAGGAGTAGTTATCCCACCAGGCTGTCATGCTCCGCCGGTGTCCCACACTCGTCATGAGCCGGCTCTCCTGAATATTCAGCGAAGATTAATGAGATTGTAAGTAGATTGTGACAGATAATTTAGAGGTAATGAGATTCAGACATTTAATTTGCATCGTGGACAACAGGACTTCTTCGAGATAGCGTCAATGTACACGCATTCTAACATCACCAGAGCTCCTCTTGAATATTAGCTCGGCAATAATCTGATCCTCTCAGCTGAGGGATGATGTATTGACTTTATATTTTTCATTAAGTCAAAGATTTGTATTTATTTCCTTAATGAGTGGTAGTGTTTGTGCTCAGAGGCCACAGAGGTGTGCGACTGAACTCCAGAGTTCTTATTTCACTCAGAAAGGGGTTCAGGAATATTACTTCAATAAATATTGGATGAAAGAGGAATTCAATCACTTCATTACACTCTGAGTAATACGTGCATGCGTTCATTAGGCAGTCCCTCAGTATCTGTGTTTAATATTCTTTGTTTACAGTGGCGGCTTGGATATGATGAACCCCATGAATATGGAGCAGCTAGCCTCGTCGCGCCACTGCTCATCTTGTATTCCGCACACAAACACGCCGAATAAAATTGCAGCCAACAATAGTTACTGTAGGGTTTTACTTTTTTTTTTTCCTATAAACATTTGATAAACTTCATGTAGTTACATAGATGACAAAGGAACTTAGTCTCAGATTAATTTTTTTTCCTGGTGGTGAAATAAAACCTGGCTGTGTCTGTGGTTTTCAGGCACTGGAGAAACACAAAGGCAGCCTCTGTAGGGGGAGAAAAAGTATGACTGAGGTGCTGATGAACACATTGGAGGTGAGCATCTTTCTGCATCCTTCTCTAAGTGTAGATGTTATGTGTACAGCTGTGGCTGTAAGGGGGTGGAGGGAGGCTGAGACAGGAAAAGAAGTATGAGGTCTGGCCCAGAGCATTTGGCACAAAGGGACCCTCTCCCATTATGCATGCTGGCTGCATCTGTGGGAGATAAGGTTTGGACCAAGGAGATAAGGTCAGGTCCTGCTAATGAAACACATGCTAAAGGTTTGCATGGAAACCTCCCCTCTCTGCTGCACATTTTTTATTCTGAAGCATTTCATTTCACTTGCCCCTTAATATTACCTCATTGTCAAGCCAGCCTTTTGTCTTTGTTACCTATATGAATATATAGAGGAGCACCGTTTCCCCAGATCAGATCATTCAGCTCCAGCTACTGATGCAAGATCACCCAAGGACATATACAGTTATACAGTACCTCGAAAAAATGTTCACATTTTTCTTAAACCTTATAAGCTTCAATGTGTTTTATGGGGATTTTAGAGAGTAAAAATCTGAAAAGTGAGGTGTGCATTTATGCTCACCTGAGTTGATACTTAATAGAGCCACCTACGTTCTTCTTAGCAGCAACAGCTTTGTGGCACTATGGGTGTTTTCTCACCTGATAGTCTGGTACATTCACTTCAATTGGGGAACGAAATGGAAACTTATGTTACATTTTCAGCTGCTGTGTCAAACAAACCAAATCCTTTGAAAAACCTGTTCACCTGACTGACAACAGTGTCGCTAATATGTCAGGATTTGACACCAAAAAACAAGCAAACATTTACCACACAAAAAACATTCAGTCGGTTTCGGTGTTATGTTTTCAGGCTTGATGTTTATTTTGCGATGATCTACTGATCATCTGTCAGAGTTGGTATGTGGGTTGTCTTTTTATTTATTATTTTATATTTATTTATTTATATCGAACATGATAGAAGTATAAAATCATGCACATGAACAAGGAACGCAAAAGACACCTTTTTGTACTACAATAATCTTAACATGCTCAAAAAGGAGTAGGAAGAAGCAAGAAACCTTTTAATACATTTTTTAACTGATGCAAAACACGCTGAATTCTGCAGCACATCTACATGCTAAGGTTGTAAAAGTCAAGCTAGCATAACTGACCTACTTTCACTCGCTGTTTTTATTATTTTTATTATTATTTCTTTTATTAAAACCTTTCCTGACCTTCTGATCTAGCTTTTGTGATGTTGACAATTAGATGCAAAGCACTGCATCCCTTTTTCCTATATATATCACACGTACATTTAAGATTTAGATCGTTATGTTGATAACTTAACAGCTAAAACCAGTAGCGGAATCTTGCACGTAAAACATCACGCTGTACATTCCTTATGCACACCACGCTTTTGAGATTGGTAAAATCATTTAAAAAATCATAATTGTTTGCATTTTTGCACTGGTTTATGACAAAAAATTGTAATAAAATACAGGTTAAAACTTAAAATGGGGAATCTGTCAAGAAGTGTGAATACTTTTGCTGGGTGCTGTGTTACATCCTACAGCTGCAGGCTTTAGTCTATGTGTGACTGAGATCATCCAAGGACATGTAAAAGGGATCTCAAGTTTATTAGGGGCAGTATTTATGAAACATGGCTTCAGTGCTGGGAGTGTTCCCTGTCGGAGCATAGCTACCTCATTGTTTATATCCCTGAGTTTTAAGTGTTGCTGGGGGCGCGGCACCGTGAATCCGCTCAGGTGACCGTTTTACTATGAGCATAGAGGAAGCGGGTATGTGTGTCTCTCCTCCCTGCCGGCTCCGGCCGCCGTTCTGTGCCAGACGACAGCTTGACAGCTGTTTCCAATGACTCCAGGAGAGAAAAAAAAAACACATTGATATCCTCCCTTTAGCTGGCCTCATTTGGGACAAAATGGAGAGCGGCCAAGTACCCTCTTCACTGGGACAGAGACATGGACAGCAGAGAAAGGTCATCAGCAGAGAGAGAGAAGGGATGGAGGAGGAAAGAGTAGCCTGAAATGACATGGACCGTATTTCAGCTATTAATGAATTTAAACCTTTTACTGTTGCCTAAAGTGAACACTGAACCTTTTAAATGTCACCTACCCAGAAAAGAGAAGCTTCATATTCAATAAAATTGGACTGTAGACCTGAATCAAACCACCCTGACTCGCTCTACAAATGTAGCATAAAACAAAGGAGTGATTTAATTTAAATATAAAATAAAGTGCCCTGATTACAACCAACCTTATCTTATTACTGACTCAAATATCAGGTTCACACATGCTTTGTTTTAGTTAGCTATGCTATACTGATTCACTGTTTGCACTTTAGCAGCTGGGATTCAACTACTATGCAAGTTGAGTTCAGTGACACCATGAGTGTGGCGTTTTTGAGTCAATATAGCTGCATTTGCAGATCAAGGGATGTAAGAATTAGTTTAGCTTTCTACTTGAAATGATAAGAACATCTTGCATTGTCTTTTGTAAATTTGATGTTGTACACGGAAAACATTTAGACTCTTGTCCACAAAATTATGTGGCATGAGAACTGCAACTCAAAGACCATTTATCTTTTGCACGTGGTCCACTGTTAAAAACTTAAATGTCAGAGTTATGTAGCAGGGACCTGATAATAACAACGTCCCTTAAGTTCATCATAAGCTAGGATTTGCAGATACTCTCCTCGGCATGCGGATTACTTGATGTGGCTGTAATTTCAATCCATTTGGTTTTATTTTCTAATGAATTCAGAAAATTTAAAATACCCTTTGCAGACACTCCAGTATTAAGCGCAGAACTCCCAGTTCAAGATGGACGTTGATTACAGACGGGAAATAAAAACGAGAGCTGTCTTCATGCAATTGCACTTGTTTAAATTTTTCATCTTTCATCTCTATAAACACACAACCTTCAAGTCCTTAGGTACACATCCTGTTTAGCTGGAGAGCGAGTCCATTTTGCCTAAATTCTTCATGGTTTCGATTTTAACAAGTCAAAGAAAATGCTCTTGACATATTTTGGTTCATATTAAGTTCAAAGTGTGACACACTATAAAAACACAATGCAGTAACAAATTATGAAACAAACCCCATAAACGACACGACAATCATCATAGCATAGCATCAAATATATTTATTAATATTCCAGTTACTATGAAATGCGGCTCTGAACAGGTGGATTTCTGGCCTCGATTTAAAGACACTGTGTTTCAGCAGCTTTACACGATTCTGGAAGTTTGCTCCAGATTGGATGAGCATGAAAACTGAATGCCTTTCTCCATGTTTGGTTCTGATTCTGGAGATGGATGGTAAACTATAATCAGAAGACCCAGGTGGTCTGGATGGTTGATGCAGCAACAGATCTTTAATGTATTTTGATGCTGAGCTGTTCAGTGATTTCTAAAGAAACCAGGTGTGCATTGGACTGTCTGTTATCCTCTGACCCCTTTTTGTTATTCACACAACTGGACCATTTTCTCTATCCATTGATAATTTTGGCTAAAACTCCCAGTAGAGTAGCAATTTATGAACTACTCAGACAAGCTCATCTGGTACTAAATGATCCAGCATTAAAATGTCCTTAAATTGCTTTTCTTCAGATCTATGCCTAATGGCACCAAGTTGCTACCATATGATTACCTCCATTACTTGTGCTAAGAAGTAACTGAACGGATCTACGTCATAAAGTGGTTGTGTGTATATAATAGGAGCAGATAGAATGGATTAATGTAATAAGAGTCTACACTCTTGTGCTTTTAGTGCATGGTTGTGCATGCAAGAGCCACAATAGCATGATATTAGCAGTCTTTCCCATCACTACAGAATAAGGCAAGCAACAATCAGTGTTTGTCGCAGTAATGGTGTCTATATCCAGGCATTGGCGTTTTTTTTCCCTGCTGTCCTGGATATTGATTCATTTCGTGAAATCTCATGCTGATAGCCACCTTCCTTCTACAAGTACTGTGATTGCTCCTGGGTACTCTGCCTCTGTACCTGTTCAATGCAAATGTAATCTCGTAGTTAATAGAAGCCCCGAAGTGAGGATGCAAAAGGTGCAATTGAAGAATTTATTTCCATTTATGTGTAAATTTTTATCACATCTATGCAATAAAGAAGGACCAGTGATTGTACACAAAAGTGTTACCTCAGCAAATGAAATTCATCAAGCAAAATTAGCATGCCCGGTATCCTAATAACAAGACGAGCCCATATCATGTCATGCAGATTAAATCACTGGTTTAAGAGATCTCTGTTGTGGACGAGAATCAATAGTTTTCCCAGGCCTCTTCAAACATTGATCGCCTCCTTTGAGATTTAATTAGTTCCTGAATATGTTCAGTGTAACATGAATATTGCGGTATAGCTATTGAACAGTGGGATGACCTATACTGCAGCAGCCCAGGGATCAATTATGAACGTTGTAATTTGCTATTGATGTAATTGATGAATTTGTCCAATTATACTGGAGAAAGTGGTCAGCCTTTTTCTCTCCGCAGCTCAATGAGCAGCCAAACAGTAGAGCCGTCGTCAGAGGGAACAATGAGCAAACTGTACAATAGGTGGGCACTTGGCATTTTAGCTGTTTGTTACATGTAGATTGAAAATGCACTTTATACGCGATCAACTCTTACACACACATGGTGTGAGTGGATAACATATGCAATTTGTTGTTGTTTTGGATAAATATTGTAAAATACAGTATTCAAACCTAAATCATAGGAAGACGATGGCTAAAGGCATATTTCAACATTATTTCCACATTTCCTCGTCAGCTGGCTTCAGCTGTAAAGCTTAAATTCAATTAATGCACTAAATTGAGAAATAAAAATATCTCATAAAATGCTTCTTCTTGCTAAGGAGTGAGGATGCTACATTTAAAATGCCATTGTCCACTCGGATTGAAAGCAGAGGTGCTAGTGAAATTTTAAGCTCATAAAGTGAAGATTTGTATATAGACTCATCTAGTGAGGACGTGGACATCATTGTGACTGTAGTGAAATTCTAAACTAAATTCAGATTTAAAACCCAAACTTAAATCTAATTCAAGACATAAAGCCTTTGTCAACACTCATCTACAGGTTATGACTGGCATTGTTACTCTAATGCCCACAGGGATTCACTTGTTTGATTGTATTTACCCAGAATGCCCTGCACCATAGTCCACTTCCTGTTTTTGGAGCGCTTTTTTGTCCGCTTATGCATTCAAACTGCACCAGATTTCACTTCAGCCAAACCCACCAGCGTTCGTTTTTTTTTATCCACATCAGAGTTCGGTTGCACATTCAGAGCTCCCCGAATGAACCGGACTTTCTAGTCAAATGAACCAGAGTTTGATTAAAGTGAAGTAAACAGGGCTGGTGTAAATTCGCCTTAACTAAGTTCTCTACTTAGACAGTTTGGAAAGGACAATTGTGTTTTTGTTTCACCCTTTCAAAACGTTTTCTGGCTCTATCATATGTCTTGTGTTAAATTTATGTAAATAAACATTTAGACCTAAATTTCCCCTTGACATGACTTTTGTGAAGCCTGCATTTGTATGCAAGTCCCTCAATGTCAAAAAGATTAGATAAAAACTCTGCATCTACAACCAGAAATCACTGACATATAACGCTCTATTTCTCATATGTAATCTTGGCATAAAATGTTTTTAACAAGTAAAGTCAAATCATATTGGGGAAAACTCAGCTTTCACTTGTCTGCTAGAGCCTCTTTAAATGTGTTATTTTACTATCAAGTCAGCTCAGTTGCTACATTATCTTGGAAAACTGAAAGAAAAATTGTTCTTGTACGTTAATTCTACAGCGTGGATCATTTTTTAAATTGCTTTTAATGTGCAGACAGTTGCACTTTTATCCATAATGGAAACCCAGAATAAATAGAGACTGTAGGAGATGTTAGATTACTACTAAATATTCAGCTTTATTATGCAGCAGCATCATCTGCACTCTGCACACATTTTGTGCATTCTACTATAAAACAAAGAGATTAAAGTGTAATTTACCTCCATGTATTAGGTGGAAGTGTCGGTTTTCTTGGAAGCAATTCATCTTAAATGCAACTTTTTGACTTTTACAGTCTAAATCTTTAACCTGCAATAGTAATACACATAATATGTCTTGTTACAGCTGCATATTTTTTGCAATCTTACTGCTGTAGAGCAGTGGTCCCCAACCACCTTTAAAGCTGCCATCTTATAATGCACTAGCACAGTTTTGCATGGCAACAATTACAAAATAAAACTTATTTATTCACATGTATCGAATAAGGGAAAACAACCACATTAGAAATGGTTGCTTTTGTAAAATATTTGTTGTGCTAACCTACTGAAATAATTTCCTATAAAGATATACCCAAGGTTTTTGTAGTTTTACATTTTTCTGTAAGAAACTAAGAACTTTGAATGATTTCTGAATTTGTGGTAAAAATATGTAGCACAGTTGGTATTTTATTTTAACCACTCTTCAAAAATGGAAAAGATGAGACTTTAGGAAGGTAGATGTTTGGTGTTCTTTGTTAATCAGGAAACTTCTTGGAGAAAATGGCAAATACCTCACATTTGCCCATACCTGCAATGAGAGCAATGACTAAAGTTTACCTTAAATTTTGATTTGAAGTAAACTAATTTCTAATAAAAAATTATTTGAAAGTACTGACTTTAGATGCTATAAAATTATTACTGGTTTTTTTGGATAATTTGGGCTCCTGCCAGTTTGAATATTGAATGCATAATGTTAACACAACAGTTCTCTTTACCATGGTGTACATGAAACCATATGACCTTTGTAAATAATTAAATATAAAAAAGAAAAAAAAAAAGTACCATTACCATTTTGTTAGTTTGTGCACCACCAATTATAAATGGTCCCATAGTGGAAAAAAGTCAAATATTAGCATGATTTAAATATGTGTTTAGTAGAACAGCCACAAGAGGAATGTAAAAACCGATGCAGATTTTTAAAAATTAATTTTATTTATGCTTAATTACATTGAGTGAAGCAGCTCCCATAACTCTGGCAACGTAGCAGCCGCTCTCATTGTTGTCCCAGAGCTAATTAAAATCACTCTGAGGGGTTTGTGGAGCAACGCAAACCACCTACAAGTTGATCAGAATTGAGTGAGTAAATTAAATGATTAATTTTGTCTTTTGCTGCTGCTTCTTTTAGTGCGCAAATGAATCATATGAATATAGTCATGTTTAAACAACTGTGCTGTTATGCTTTATTTGGTGTTTTGTTTTTGTTTTTTTTGCGAAACATCTTGGAGCTAAATAAAATTTCATAAGAGAACTGCAGTTGTAAAAATGCGTGCTTTTCTTGTAAAACATGTCATTCTGTGCAGTACGTGATTTAATTTGTTCATTCATTTGTTTAGTCGTATTTTTTTTGATAAGCCACATCTGTTACATGCACAAACACTGTTCATTGCACGAGGCTACTTCTGCACCACAACAAATTTGCAGTGAACAGTAATGTCCACACATTTATTTTTAGATGCGCCTTGTTTTATGTTTTGGTTCAAATCAAATATCAAATACCCCAACATCGCTTTCATCACTCCGGACTTTTGGCAAAGACTGTAGGGTCAACATTGTGACTGCTAACTCCCACCTACAGGGGTTAGCAGTCAGTATTTCTGGTAACACTTTATTTGAAGGGGGTGAATAAGACTGACATGACACTGTCATAAACATTACATAACACCTGTCATGAACATGAATAAGCCTTCATGAATATTTATGACTGTTGTCATAAAGCGTCATTCGGTAAATTATGACACTTTTAATACAAAGCTGACATTATTCAAAATGTCTTTGTTATGATAACTTGACATTAACCAATAAATCATTACTGATATAAATTTGTTATAAAAGAATTACTGATTGCACTTTAAAAATTAGGTATCTTTATTTTATTAAAGGTAAAGTTTAAACAGTAATGATTTCTGATTTCCATTCCTAGTGAATAACACAATGGGCATTACTTAAAATTAGACATACTGATTATTATAAATGAAAGCTTTGCAACAGTAAAATGTTTATGTACACACAATCACACTTTTTAAAGGTCGTAAATTATGAAAATGTGAAAATTAGGGAGAAAAAACATTTGATATTTTTGTCTGGCACAACTTATTGTTGTGCCTGACAAAAAAACATGTAATAATCTGGTTTGTGGACTTTGTGGCTTCTTTTTATGCAGTCAGACTGTCAAATCAAATCTAAAACCAAAATCAGTCTTTTAGATGTGTGATTAGTTCTCAGTTTTGCAAAAGCTATTTAAAGACAAAACAAATGGGGAAGGAAAAAAAACACAACACTTTTACAGATTCGCAGGAAACTGTAGATACTTTTCACACTTCTTATTAGTATTTTCTGGTTCCGAAAACATTTCCTGTGACAGTAATTGCTCTGAAATTTCTTCGCTCTTGTCCTCGAATTGATCACATCAGACTTACCTCTGTTATCGAGAGGCTTTGCACAAGTGTTGTAATTTCAGCCTGTGGGAAAAATAGCCCATCTTTCCTAAGCCGCCGCTCTTGTTGAATTGCACTTTGCGCTGCAGATTGGTGCTTATAGCTGCGACTGCCTCCCCGCCTGGCGTCCGCACAAAGCTACCGACGGGGCCCTTTGATGTTTGCCTCGGCGGATCAAAGATGTTAGTGAGCAGACCTGCCAGGTGTGCCCGCTCTTTCATCTTACTTACTTTATCAGTCTGCTGCTACCTATTCTCTGTAAAGCGACACAACAACATGTCCCATTCAGGCAGCATCCATAATTCACAGCAAGATTTCCTCGATTTCAGATAGCCCCCCGTTCTGGATGCTTGGAACGACTTTTTGTAGCGGTCTGTAAATCTAGTGGAGGATGTCATCTCTTTGTGCATACTCGCTTATCGTTCCGTGCCCAGATTTGATCTTAATCCTCTTGACCTCAAAGGAGAAGAAAGGATGGTTCACGCTTTCTCGAAATCATAAATATTTGAATTCGTGTGACAGTCTTTGATTTCTTGCTCTTTTCTGCGGCAGCAAATGTAAATGTTAGACCTGTGTGGCTTTCCAACTCTGACTCCGTGCTGATTGTTCAGAATATGTCAGGTTTTTGGCATCTTTACCAAGCAGACTTTGCGGCTCTCATGAACAAAGAGTGGTTTAAAAGCAGACCACCACTTCTTTTTTTTCTTTGTTTGCTTTTCAACGCTGAAATTCCCAGAGGACACCCAAGTGCTTCATCAGAGAATTTCTACATTATTGATTAAAAATGAGATAATAAAAGCAGCATAATTTGGTAGGCCCTGGGGTAAGAATATCGTGTCTTTGTTTACATTTCTGTAATTCATTCCTATATTCATCTGTCTGGCTTCTCCTCTCCCCCACATGGCGCATAGATCATGTATGGCTGGAACCCGAGTCGCTCCAGCTCAGATCATCGACGCTTTGATCTCTGTGTAAGCAGATGACGTTTTCATGCATAATCACTGTATTGATTTGGTCCCTCCTCTCCTCCCACCCTATCCCAATTGATCTGGAAACTAATTGTGCCCTTTTCTCTCTCAACAGCGTCTTGCTGGGATCAAGTCTTCATCTCAAAACTACCAATCTTGTTAAAGGGAATGTAAGCAATCTTAACAGTTTAGCAGGAGAAAACAAAAAGACCTCTTAAATGGCAATTAATGTCACACATTTTAGTTTAAGAGTGCCATTTGTGGCTTTGGTAATTGAGTAAACAACAGCGGGTTTTACATCTTCACCCAGAAAAATGAACGTGTCAACAGGCAGCCGAGGGCACCGTCACTGTTAGTCTTTGTTTCAGTAGAAAATTAAGCCCGCCAGACTGAGAAGCTGTCGTTTCTTATTTTGAGGGAAACATCTTGATGATTCCTTTTTTCTTGGATAATGGTGGCATATATGACTCTGCAACCATTCAAAGAATAAATCAAGATATGAAAATAAATATATTCAGGGTTTCTCACAGAAAACTTGGAGTCTTTTGTAAGGACGCTAGTGCAGACCATCAGTGATCCACTGAATTTTTTTATATTAAACAAAGATTATTAGAGGGAAGACTTTAGAGGGGAAAAAAACTAACCAACCTGGCCCTATGTGAAAAAGTATCTGCCTCCCTCAAACTAGTAAGCGATTGAACCTCTTTTAGCTGTAACCACCACTATGTTTCTTGTTTTACTTTGGAACCATTCAGACATAAACTTACTAGAGTGGTTCAGATTGAAAAACTTCTTCCCCCCATCTGGTCTGCACCAGAAATACTGATGGAAACAATATAAAATCATCTGAAGAGGACATGAGAACAACTTCCTAAATAACCAAATATAAACAAAAATGGATGACAGCAGATTTTTGTAGGGTTTCTCCTTTGTCTTTGACAAATAACTATGAGCCATTTTTTCTGAATTTACCCCCAATGCCCTGCACTGCAGCCAACTTGCTGCTTTTGGAGTTGTCTCCATTACGCTTCGCATTCACAAATCCCTTCAAGTGAGACTTGGGTTTTTAGACGGACCAGAGTTTGCATTTTTGGTCTGCATCAGTTTGATTGCATATTCACACCTCCTCAAACGAATCAGACTTTCTAGGCAAATGAACACCAGATGAAAACTGGCACTTTCCAAATAAATCAACTTTTGTCTCAACAATCCAATTGACATCTGCCAAATCTAAGTAAGAGGTGGCGCATAATGTATTTTACCATACATCCTCTACTATATCATTGCCAATCTTTCTCTAGATTTAGACTTCAGTAGTATATTTGCCGTTATCAAGACTAGCTTGTCTTCAAAGTTTTTTTTCTTTCGTATAATCATCAGAATAGTTACAATGGAACAAATGTTTTGTTTTTTTTTCTTTTAACACTAACACATGAAGAGAGAATGTATTCAGCGCTGACTGTGACTGATGGCTGCTGTCTGTATAAGAAATCTCAATAATCCTAAAAAGACAGGAAAATGAGGTGTGCTTCAAGTCATTTGTTTCTGAAGACAGCCTGGCTGCTGTATCCCATCACTGCCCATGAGGCCCCTTCACCCTGAACAAACCGATCCCATTTCAGCCATGCAGAGAGTGATAGAGGGGCCTCTGTCTGCCGCTTGGCAGGCTGTTGATGGAGTCTTTGACTGGAAGAAGTATCCAGGTTGAGGAGTACAGATTCAGATGGAGAAGGGCAGAACAAAGAGGACTCATCCTTACCTGAGGGCCACCATAACTCACTACTGTCGCCACTTTGGTCACTGGTATAGACAGGGTTCAGAATCTCCTTTATTTCCTGACACACAATTAAAACACACACACACACAAATTATTTTTAAATTAAGAGATTACATGCAAAGTCCAAGACTTAATGCACTACAGTACATACAACATGTGGGTATTTACAGAACTGAGAAACTGCATGTTAAGAAAAAGAATAAAATCTAAACATTTTGAGTAATTGGATAAAACCCAGAGTAAAATACTTAAATTAATAATAACTTATGATTAAACCAATAATTAATATTGGTTTAACCAGTGGTTGATGTTGGTTTGATTATAAGAATATTTACTCTTATACTTATGGAAGTACTTACAGGTGAAACAAGTAACTGTAACATGGTATCAAATAATTAGAATAATGGGTTATTCTCGGTTTCTTTTCAGAAATGTCTATAATAACTCACATCATGATTATAATGAGAGTAACTAATAAGTTATGGTTATTATAAAATTATAAATGAATGCTAAATCAGAGAAACTAAATGTTATAAATGTGATTTTGACATTGAACTTGAAATGGTGTAACATGTAACTGTAACTAAAGGTCACTGATGTTGTGTTGGAGGTAGAGGGTAGGTGAAAGGTCAGGGGAAAAGAGGAACCGAAAGGGGAGCAGAGGTGACCAAGACATTAGGTCATCAGAACAGACATGTCTCCAAGATGGTGATGGATATGAGATCATCTGTCCAAGCAGTCAGTACGGAAGAAACAGGAAGTGGGATTTTTGAGATGCATGAAGGAAACAGGTGCAGAAGGCAAACAGAGAACTTCAGAAAGTACAGTTCCAAGGAAAAGGCAAGTTCGTCTGAAGGTTGAGGCCAACCAAAAGGCAGTTGACGTCAAGGAAAAACGTACGTGAGGAAAGTTGTGTGGGCTGCTGACACATACACGACAAAAAAGCAGAAATGAAAGAATTGAGCAGTTGCTGATAAGACATAGACACCAGACAGAAGGATCGGGGTTCTTTGTTCCGCAGCATTCGAGTCGAGCACACAGAGATGCAGAATCAACGGAGGGCTGCGTGCTGATACCCCGGGATGATAAAGACTGCTCGCTGCACAAGAAAGGAACAAGATCCGTATACCCACGACGCGGGATTATGATTCGACTGCGGCCCCACACTCAACCCAAAAGATTCCAACGATGCTGCAGTGGACATGGGGAATAGACAAAGATTGTATATGGATAAAGAACTGAGTTCATTGAGGATTCTCACCAGTT